TGTTGATAGGGAATGGAGGGTGGAGTATCAGGATGTATCTAAAATTAAGTTTATAGAAAGTATTCTATTTTATCAATGAGATACCTATTGCATATATAACCCAAGTTTTAAATTTGGAGTCACATAGATAGAGAATTATATTGCAGTACTTAGAAAAAGTTAAACTTAAATGAATCTAGTCTAAGTGGAAAAACTAGAAATTCCTCCTTCAAACTTGGAGGAGCAGAGAGACAAAATATATCTCTGTGTGTGCTATGTGTGATGAGTGTGTGTAGGGTGTTTGAGTGATTATACAAATGTCCTTTACTATGGAGTCACAGGCTGAGTCCAATGTCTTCCCTCCCCCAACCCCTCATCCCTCATATACCTAGTAACTTTCTCTCTTGGAAGAAAACTGATGGAAGTGAAGAGTTAGATATATAAGGAAGCAAGGAGAAAGAGGGCCAGAGAAATAGCTCAAAGGGTTGCATGCAGGTCTCAGACCCGGGTAATACATAGTCCTTGAGAACTGCTAGGAGTGACCCAAAGTACAGAGCTGGGAGTAGCCCCTAAATACCATCGCATGTGACACTAGAATAAAACAATAAATGAAAAGATAAGATAAATTATTTCTGAAAGTACTAGCAAGTAAGAATTATAGCAAATATTTTCTTTTCTTCTGAGCTGTGCAGTGAAAGCATAGGCAATTTTGAGCCAGGGAAAGACCGACCACATCGTGTGATTGCAACAGCAATACGAGTGATTTTATTGCAAAATTTGGAGATTTTTAAATGGGAAGTTGGGAGGAGAATGGCAGAAATGAAAAAGGGATGAAAAAACCCTGACACTGGGAAGAAGAAAAGCTGCTTTCTCCTTCCTCCAAATACAGATTCAGCAAAAATAGCACACAGAGAACAAGGCGGTGTGAGAGGGGTTCTAGCTAAACATTTTGAAAATAAGAAATGTAATAATTTGTTAACTGCAATTAATGGAAAGATAATAAGTGTTTTAAATTTGAGCAATAGCACAGCGGGTAGGACGTCTGCCTTGCACGCAGCCAACATGGCCGACCCGAGTTCGATTCCTCCGCCCCTCTCGGAGAGCCCGGCAAGCTACCGAGAGTATTCGATATGCCAGACACAGTAACAACAAAGTCTCCAATGGAGACGTTACTGGGCCCGCTCGAGCAAATCGACGATCAACGGGAGGGCCTTTACTTTACTTTACTTTACTTTCTACTAGCGGCCAATTGATATTTTATAAATGTTGGCTAGAGAGATCGTAGAAGGATTAAGGTGATTGCTTTGCATACAGTAGCTAACCCTGGCATCCCCTAGGCACCACCTAGAGTGACCCCTGAGTACAGAGCCAGGAATAAACCCCAAGCACCACTGATTGTGACCTAACAAGAAAACAAAAAATAATGTTTATACCTGCTAATAGTCATTTAGGCCTACACTATTTCATACTCTTTAACATAAAATTTCTTTCTTTTTTTTCCATATTGTAGCCAAAATGAAATACTTGTTTTAACCCAGGGAATAGCATAATTCTGTATGATCTATAGTATTTTTGTTAAGAATATTTCATTAGAAAAATTTAAGCTTTACATAAATCAACCTAGTATGTGTATGGTGTGTCATTATAGAAATGTCCTTTTCAAAAGGATATTTAGAATAGATTAAAGAATACTGCTATAGTGTGACTCGATGAAAACATCTAAGAACCATAAAAGTAAATCAGACTTGTTTTGGGATCTAGAAAACAAAATCCAGCATACTTAGTGCCACACAATCTGTTTTGCTCTTTGCAATCTGGTTCAGACATTTTCTTGCTGAGAGACTAACCAAATCAATTTCCCCCCTAATAATCATCTCTAACATGGGATAATTGTACCTGTCCTGTTGTATCCTACTGATGACAGAGCCCAGTAAGTAAACTAGGAAGTACCATCTAGAAATTCGTCTATACTTAATCATTTTTGTGATGTAGGTCAAGATATCCTTTTTTAAAAAATATATGTACATATTTATTTTTAATTGGATCACTGTGAGTACACAGTTACAAAGTTCTTCGTGATTGGGTTTCAGTCATATAATGTTTCAACACCCATCCTTTCACCAGAGTACCACCACCTATATACCCAGTCTCTTTCCTGTCCCTCAACCTGCCTGCCTCTATCAAGGTACTTCTCCTCTCTCTATCTCTGTCTTTGTCTCACTTTCTCTTTACTTTTGGGCATTATGGTTTGTAATACAGATACTGAAAGATTACCTACTTTCAGCACCCAGTTCTTGTTCAGAGTGATAATTTCCAAACATTATTGCCATAGTGGTCCCTTCTCTATCCTAACTGCCCTCTTAGGCCAATATATTCTTTTTGATGAGGAGAAACATAAGCAACCCCTCCCCCCCACTCCAAATACGTTGGTAAGCAATAAAGTCTGGCCTCAATCCAAGATTTAATGGGATCCCAAGGACAATTTTATTCACATCACCAGGAGAATATGAACACAAACTTTCTCTTTAGGTGATACTTTCAAGTCAAAGATCAAGTTCTCCATCGTCAACATAACCCCAAAATATTATTGTGTTTCTTAAGTCAGAGAGGCCAGGTTATGTGACTTCCTCTCCTTTCAAAGGGAGACATCTTTTCTTCACAAAATCTCCACCAGTTTTGTGTGATAATGAAACAATGCCAAAACAGAGGGGGTCTGAGCCTTATAATAAGCTGACACAGAGAAGTGCCTGAGGGATACAGGGTGAGGGATGCCCAAGCACTTAGCTGCCTTGAAGGCAGGTCCACGGCATCTGTCTGCTCAGTATGGCAGTTGCACTCCAGGCAAGAAGTCTTTTCTCACAAATGTGGTCCTCCCTTGGGAGTTCAAATTAAATTAGGTCTCACTTAAATTGGATTTACTCCCAGTACATTACCATTTGCACAATCTTGCCAATGTTTGGCAACTTGCTAATTAGTCATAGAATGACTTTAGTAATAGTATTTGGATAGTTAAATCTTTTCTGCTGTTGAACTCATCTATAATGAGCCTATTAAAAGTCTTTGTGTGTGTGTTCACCTTTTATTCAGGTGACTAACAATGAACCACTAGAAATTGATATGACAATGACCTTTTCTCTAATCTCAGGAAATGGAAGCTTAAAAAATTGCCAAAATATCAATGCAACTAACTTGTTAATGCTACAGTTTTTCTGATTCTCTTCTACTGAAGTATTGCCCAAGAATGATTTGTGGTAGCAAAACAAAGCCTTCAAGAACGAATGTAATAGAAGGATAATTTTTTTTCAAGAATTATGTTTGAGTTCCTCATTGAGGCTAGCAGTATTTAACTTCCTCAGGCTATTTCACCTCATTATATAAGTCTCTGAGTGTGTTCAGAAGATGAAAAACATAACTGAGCTGCAATTAAGCAGCATAACTTTACATTGGAGCTAATATGTTTAGGTTGCTTTCTATGACACTGTCAGGTGATTTCCTGGTTTTTGTTAGATATTTCTAGAAGTATATACATGCTAGAATTCACTCTCCTGTGCTGTGTCTCCTCACAGAGAATCTCCAGTTGTTCCTGCAGGCTCTGTATCAAAAGGATGAGCTTCGCATATTTTTGTTTGTTTTTCAGCCACACCCAGTGATTCTCAGGGCTTGCTCCTGGCTCTGTACTCAGGAGTCATTCCTAGCAGGATTCCAGGGACCATGTGGAGTACTGGGGATTGAACCTGGGTAGGTCATGTGCAAAGTAATAACCTTACCCACTGTGCTTTATCACCTGACCCCTGAACTAAATACTTCTAAATCTGCTTATCTTTAGACATCCATTAGGCCACTGTGCAATAGAATTATAATTGGGGTTATATTTATTTTCTGTTTTGATTGACTTAAGATGTGATATTATATTTTTCATTAATAGTTGCTCAAGTCCACCGAAAGTAAAATCAGATTTTATTGCAGATTTGTATATCTCTGAATTATTTCCATATGTACATATGAATTCGGCAAAGCCATCACCGTCGCATTAGGACTTATTTTTCAAAATCAATTCCATAGGCTGGGGATGTATTTCAGTTGTAGAACACATGCCTAGCATATGTGAAGTTCTGGGTTCAATCCCAAGCTCCACAAAATTTAAGGCCCTCCCGTTGATCATCAATTTGCTCGAGCGGGCCCAGTAACGTCTCCACTGGAGACTTTGTTGTTACTGTGTTTGGCATATTGAATACGTCACGGAGAGCTTGCCAGACTCTGCCGTGCGGGCGAGATACTCTCGGTAGCTTGCCGGGCTCTCCAAGAGGGGCGGAGGAATCGAACTCGGGTCGGCCATGTTGGCTGCGTGCAAGGCAAAAACCCTACCGCTGTTCTATCGCTCCAGCCCCAGCTCCACAAAAATAAAAATAATAATAATAATAAATGACATAACTAAAAATTTATTCTTTTTAGTGAAGTTGACTCACAATTTCTCATACTACAAAAATATTGTTTATAGTTACAGCTTCACTATTTTATTTTAATTGAAGCATTAACTTGATTTAAGAATTGTGTACATACCATTTCAATTCTGCTTCAGGTTTCCTGAGGCCAATGATGATCAATATAGTATCTAATAAAGATCTAGTGAAACTGGCTAAAGAACTAAGTTCCAATAGAAACAATGGGAGCAATGTAAACATTTCTACAACTCCCCCTGACCCTCTCACCACCAGGGAATATATATTTAAGACAATGACCATAGCCCTGCCCTCAAAGTTGTTGAAATCATGAAACCATCTTGGTAAATCCCACAGCAATGCACGGAAGAGTTATAGAAGTATGGTGAATAATTCATCTGCGGAGTCTCATTTCAAACACACTGAAGTTGTGTTTGGTTTTATAGTCCTGATTCCTCAGACAGGATCAGGAGCTCACTCTTTCCCTCAGTCCAGGCCAATGGCAAACACAAGCAACAGAGTAGAGGGTGTGCAGTTGTATTAGACACAGCCACAAGGTAAAAACAAAACAAAACTTGGTCCCTCAGTGAAACTCTCTCCTGCTCCATCTGCACTTCTGCTTGTCCAGGCTCCTACTGATTGACTTTCTTTTCTGAGGAGAGACCTATGAAAAACAGCAGGGAAATGTTTCACATTAAAAATTAAAAATTCATTTCTCTTTCTGACTTCAGGCTCACGTAAATGTCTAGGCTGGCAAAAAAGAGAAATATTTTATTCATAAGCTCCCCACAAGTTTACATGGAGAAATCAGGAGGTGGGAAATAGAGGGTTATTATTTTAAGCATTGCCATATGCTTACCATTTGGTGAAATCAGTTGTGGCCTCATCTGTAATCATGCCTAAAGAGAAGCTACTATACCACTTCTCAATCTTGTTGGCATTTTGGTGACTTTGCCATTTTACATATGCAAGTAACTCATGTATTTTACTTTTAGGTTTAGTACCTTGCCCCACAGAGGGAAAATTTGCTAAACAAACTACTTTTAAAATAATGGTTCCTGGTACATTATTGTCAAAACCGTAGAAATATTTCTTCATAAGATAGATGTGTTGGCGTGTTGTGTGGACCAATATGGAAAATATGGTATATTTTGACAGGACCAGGATAGAATGGCACAAATTAGTATAATATAAGTGGCTCATGAAGAGAAAATGATTATATTAATATCAGGAACTAAGGTGTTGTCCTTATTTACAATTATGAATATGCTCATTGCTCATTGTTTTATACTTGCAGTCCTGATTTTGAAATTTCACAGACTTGCCAGATGAACATTTTAATAATAGATAAGAATTTACTTTTCCAAGCTTAAAAACATGCTTCTGATGACTATGACTCATATTGAAAAGGTTTGATTATGCTGAGAATATAAATTTGGATTCAGAAGTGTAGCCAATTGAAATTTAAGCAATTCCAAGTTTATCATTCCATACATTAATGATACCTATCTTTAGTATCTGAAAAATCTGAGAATCCATTTGTCATTTTTTTAATGTTCAGAATTCAAATGATCCTACTACATACATGTTTTATTCCAATATTTCCATATGTTCATGTACATGTGAATATACTTGTACATGTTATTAATAATAGGCTCTTTTTAACTCCCTCACATATCACTGAATTACTGATAGGCTGAACTTATGGCATTTGTCTTGTGCATTCTTTTTAAAAAATCTAAAAATAATATATAACATTTTTATTAATCCCTTATATTTGATTAATCGCCTATACATGGCAAGATCATTAATAATGAAACTCTCCTTAAAAACATTATAACTTGATAATATGTATTAAAAATTGTAATAATATGGTCTTTGTTTCTTCTGTTTCATAGATTTCTTAAGAAGATTTTACAATGTAAACTGGCTACTGTATTTCTGCATACGGCCATGGAACTGAAAAAATTCCAACTAATCCAATCATTTTATTATTGTAAAATTATTTGTAGTGCTTATATATAAAGGCAGTTATAAAAAGACAAACTGAGGAATAAAGATTCTGGCTTCTACAGCATGAATACCAATGTTTATTTGAATAAAATATGTTCAAACTGCAATATTAAATTGTATTTATAGCTTTTATAGCTATGTTATGTCTAGCATGCAGGAGTCTACCCATGCTACTTAGTATTCTGACTTAACGTCAGAATTCCTGAGCTAGTCTGTGGCCTAGCCAATAGCTTGTAGTATAGACTTATCTCTGTTCCTCAGTTTCCACATTCATAAAACATCAGTACTAGCTTCACAGGACTGCTTTAAGTTCATCATATCCTTTTCTTTTGGTTGTAAGCCTTATATCACTCTCTATATAGCTCCTAAATAGCTTTCTGTAATTCAGTTTGCTGTTTCATGTATGGCAGTCAAGTGTCCTGAGTCTGCATGCACTTAAGATTGCTCTAAAGTTTTGATGATATAAACATAAAAAATCATATGTAGAAAAGTACACATACATATTGTATATGTGCTCAGCTCCTACAATGTTTAAAAGTTTCTGGCATGGTTTTATGTTTGGATTAGGTCCCTCCAAAACACATGTAAGTTCTAACCTTTGGTACCTGGGATCGTGAATGTATTTGGAAATAGAGTCTTGCAGGCAGAATCAGTTTAACATGGGTCAAACTGGATTATCCTAATCTAAGATAACTGGTGTTCCCATTAGAGAAAATTTGACTTACACACGGAGGAAAGATGGTATGTGAAGTCAGAAGCACAGATTGGAAATACACAGCCACAAGCCAAGCAACATCTGTTGCTATTAGAGGAGAGAAGAGACAAGGAAGAATGATCCCTTTGAGGCTTCAGAGGGAGCATTACCCTGCCAACATTTGAATTCAGTCTTCCAGTCTCCAGAGCTTTAAAACTGGATTTTAAGCCACCCAGTTTGTAGTACTTTGCTAGGGTAGTCCTAGGAAATAAAGTCAATGAGGATGCAAGAACTTCATTATTATTAGACTTTTTATAAAGACCAATTATAATAGTTAAGCTTTGATTTCTATATTGTAAAGAAATAACTAAGATTGCTTGTCATAAATCTCACATGCCTACATGTTCTGCTTTTACAAACATGTAAGAACTGAGGTCCAACCTATCACACACAGTTTAGTTCTGCACCATATGAAAGATGTGGATGGTACAGAAGTGATTGGTTAAAATCAGCCTTTGACATTTCACAAGGTTTAGTAAACTCCACTGTACCATAATTGTTCCACAAGCATGAAAGCCATTTTGCATCCTTTCTGATAACAGACAAAATTTGATCAAAATATTCTCAGTAAACATCATATGCTTCTAAATGGATATGATAATCAACCCATTAACAGATATGGACTTCAATGTATGTAAATGTCTCTACTTGATGCTCTACAGAGAGAAAGACATACAAGTCTCAAAAGTCTTGAAAACCTTCATTTAGGTGTTTACATTTTGAATGAAGAGTTGATTTTTAATGTGTACCAAAGCACTCTTAAATAACTACAGACAGAGCCTGAAGCAAAGTTGGAAATTAGCTGACCTAAAGAATTTTCACTGAGGCTTCCAGTACCTAACATCCTTTGTTCCTGTCCAGGAATCCCTTCATTGGTCCCATGCTTCTTGGACCCTGATCTGACCCTCTCACAGAGTGAGCCTGCCAAGCTCCTGGCACCCATATGTAGAGCCCTAAATTCTCTGTTCTTGTGGGCTTATGGGGTCCTTTCCGCCAGGTCTGAAGACTTATCCAGGGCCCAATTTATAGATAGGTGAGAGGTGTATGGATGAAGTTGGTATGTGCCTGTTATCTCCTCCTTAAATCCACCCCCAAAACACCTGAGAGTGGGAAGATGGAAAGAGGAAAAAACGGATGTGCCCTGTAGCTTAGTTCTCTCTTGCCACTGTATTCTGGCAAAGAATCATAAACGGATTTAGAGCATTCTGACCCTCTGGGTATATATATTAATAGATGTTTAGACTATACAAACTGTTTCTTGCTTATATTATTTAGTTGTGATGTGTACACAAATAATATGCAGTTCTCTTGGTATTCTTGTACTAGGCCACAAGTCTATTGATGTTGTTGCAGTTTAATTTTAACTTCCATGCCTTTGAAGGCTACTACACTGCATGTAATGTATAAACATCACAGCCACTATTTCAGATAAAATTATAAGAGGAGTCATAACGATAAGGGAATGTACTAGGATAATTTGTAATTGCTACATATGTTGAATCAGAAAAATAAAATTATCAACTGTGAAGGGAATTAATAAAATCCAAGAGAGTTTACAAAATATAACATATTAACTTTCTGAAATACTTCTATTTTCATTAAATAGAAGTAAATTATTTTGAGTATTTATTATAAAAATAAAATGTAAAAGTGTTTATAGAAATTTTTTATCTATAGACAACTAAAGACAGTTTGATTCATCTAGTCAATTTTCCTTCTCTTTTACAGATTTTGAGTCTGACACATCTGGAATCTAATATTAGCCCCAAAGGGGCTAATATTACTAATTGTGTGAATAGTCTTGCCATGTAAATTTTCCAAGCCTTAGTTTCCTCATTTGTTAATGATATAACAATAAAACCTGCTTGTATCATTGTTGTGAAAAGTTAGATTTGTGAATTATAGAGGTTTACTCTTCTATTTTAATACTACATCGATAGATGCTGCTACACTATACATCACAAAGTTTATTATACTTCTTCCTTAGTAGCCAGTAGGTCTCTTATACTGACTATGATATTCTATTTTCAAACATTTTATTTAGTTTCTAAAGGTCATTTCTTTCTTACATAATTAATAGTTTCTATAACATTGGTACAGGAAAAATCCCATAGTTATACATAAGTGCCTATAATATTAGTTAATTATCTGTGTAATTATATGTTCTAGCAATTACTTCCAAGAGAAATAGTGTTAATATTCATTCCAGACCAATGGAAAATGGAAAATTATAATTGTATGGTAACAGCTGTTATGTAGCAATAGATTTCAAAAACACAGACTTTTTTGTCTGTGCAACCATCATTATGGGTAATAGTATGACTTTCTAATAAAAACTTTGTTATGGCTGAAACCCAAGACTCTCTCTAAAAATCAATTATTATGTTCGTAAAGGAAAGAAAATACAAAGACATTTCTACAGTTTTCTGATAAATACCTAGACATATAATGATTAAATTTCACTTTTTTAACTTCCTTGTCGCTCCAAATGCTTCTGTGTATGTCTGTTCCCCTGAGCACTGAACAACTCTAAGAAGCTGTTTCCGTATATGACAATGAACAGCCTCTTGTATTTGTGAAGTTTACAACCCCCAAAACTGTTTGTGATGTCCCGTGCTCCCTATTTCCACTCCACAATGGACTCTGTAGTAAAAACTAAAATTCAATAATCTCAGCTCGAAACGAAATGGGATCCAATTTCAGATATGGCATAAAACAAGGATATGGCTCATCTTCAGCTTTTCAAGGCAGATTTAAATCTCTGGAAATGAGAATGTAGAGTCACAGATGTGTGTCATGTAAGATTGTAAACATGTAACAGACATTGCCAATTTCTGATTATAGGTGATGAGAACAAAAGTGGAGTTATTAGAGCCCAGTTTACACAGCCCACTCATTGGTGGTCTCATGAGACTGTAGAGACAAGATGTAGAAATTACAGCAGATCCTGGAAAGAAGGAGAATGGTTTAAAAGAAAACTCAAATAAGTTCATAAAGTAGTAAATAAAAAGGCCGTGGGTCATTTCTATATAGGTGATTGGTTTGTTATTTTTCAGCATACACAGAGGTGTGTATTATGGCCCAGCCTGACCTAACCTTGACATTTTAGTCTGTAAGGAACACAGTTCTGAGCCTTTGGTGTCCTCTGTCCGTATGCCAGTGACATTTGAAACATCTGTCTAGCAAACTCAACCTGGAAGGGTGGGTCTGCTTCTGTCCTTTGTAGTTGATCACAGAGCTCTGTGGTGGTGGTTGTTCTAATACAGCCCTGCTCAATGTTTTTGTTTCTAACCCCAGATGGAATACGAACTCCGAGGCTAGCATAGGAACAGAAGCCAGAATTGATGTCCGTGCATTTCTGTAGTTGAACATTTTCTTTGTGTTAAGGAGTCTGATTTAACCCCAGGTGCATCACATTAGAGCTGGGTATGCAAGTCAACTTTATAGTAGGCCCTCCCTCCCCAAGTACGAATGAATGCACGTTGGCGTAAACATCTCCAAAAGATCCCATTAAAATGTAAACATGAAAGAATGCTCAATCCAGCTGTGGTCTTACCATTTGCTTTGTGCTGCACATCTGGCGGAAACTGGTCAGGAGCATACCACTGATAGTCTGGCTGTGTGGAACAATAAAACATTATTATAGCAATATGGACTTCAAACGGAACATTGCGGCGCATTAAAAATATAATTATCCGATGTGGCTTTTATGACGCAGGCAAAACAAGAGTAGTTTCTTTCCAAACCTGTTGCCAATCTTGCTCATCTCTCTCACCACCCTCATCACAGCTACCATCGAAATGCACCCCTCCAAAATCTACTCGGGCCAGAATTTCTATTACTTTGGGGCTGTAGCTTATTTCTCTTTTCCCTGAAACCAGATGTGTTTTCAATATCTGCAGAAGTATAAATACTTTGGTAAAGCGTCCTATAGCCCACAAATAAAACAAAGTGTTCTACCACCAACAAATAGTCTTTTTAAAGCCCTCAAACAGGGAAGCAACAAGAAGATCAAGGGTGAAAAACAAGACAAGCTTAATGCTTTCTAGTGGGTCAAGGAAGAAATCCTTTAAGCAACTGCATGGGGACATGATTGATAGATGTGGAACAGGGAACGGGGTGGGGGTGGGGGCGAAAACAAGGTACACCTTGCTCTTTACCCTGCTCCTCTGTGGTACCTAATCTGTGAACTGCTGAGGTCCATTAAAACAGAGAGGCAGTGAGAGGAACCGGGAGACTTAGATTTTTCTCTGGGATTTTCTCCTAGGTTTATAACATTTAAGAACAGCTGGATATCAAACATCAGGGAACATGTCCAACAAATTGCCTTGAATAAATCATAAGGTATCCAACTGAATCAAGGGCACCATCTCTGTTTTACCTGCCCGTGGGGTGAATCTGTTAGCTCCAAATATTCTCCACTGCCTCTTCTCCCCCCATGAGAGAGAAAAGAGTCCTTTTGTTCTACTAGTCCATTACCTGATGCAATAACATGGGGGAAGCGTTCTCTAAGAGTGAGCCAAGGGGGAGTATTTTCAGGGCTGCCAGACCACTGAAAGTAGCTGAAAAGTTCAATTACCTGACAAGACACAGAGAAATGTGGCCTTGAATGGAGTCTGACCTCACTTTACCCCCACTCAGACACCTAGGCTCAGGGTTCCTTTTAGACCAGGAAAAAACTCAAAGAGGAAATGAGATCACCTCTGTTTTTTATCTCCTCGTTTATTTTTAGATGTCTCAAATAACACATAGGATAAGTGACGTGAGCCTGAGTTTTATATTCCAGGAGAGCTGCCAAAAAAAGGTGAATATGCAGTCATTTTACCAACGCTGTGCATGTGCTCGGGCAGGCTTCAAAATATGTGGGAAGTAGAAACTGTACTTTTAAAATTAATTTCGAAAGTTCTTGTGAATTCTATTGTGGGATCAAGATTTTGTTGAACAGAATGCCACTTGAAAATGTAAGTCCTTCAACATGCTTTTGAGTCTTTTCTCAAATCCACACCTTCATTTGCTGATAACTTCACAGATGTGGCCCACATTCCTCTTTCCATTGATAGAGTTTGATGAGGTTTTGTTTTTAATAGTAGGCAAGTTTTTATCCTCTTTCCATAAATGACGATTCAAAGAATAAAGTATAGCCATTTTTTATTTCTAGATAAACTTGAATGATTCACTAGTTTTATAGTTAACCTTTAATTCCCTACATGAGTATTTACAGCAGGGTAGAGCGATAGCACAGCGGTAGGGCGTTTGCCTTGCACGCAACCAACATGGCCGACCCGAGTTCGATTCCTCCGCCCCTCTCGGAGAGCCCGGCAAGCTACCGAGAGTATCTAGCCCGCATGGCAGAGCCTGGCATGCTCCCCGTGATGTATTCCATATGCCAAACACAGTAACAACAAAGTCTCCAATGGAGACGTTACTGGGCCTGCTTGAGCAAATTGACGAACAACGGGAGGGTCTTTACCTTTTACCTTTATTTATTTGCTCTTTAGGTCACACCAGGCGATGCTCAGTGGTCACTCCTGGCTCTGCACTCAGGAATTACTCCTGGCGGTGCTCGGGGGACCATGTGGGATGCTGGGAATCAAACCCGGGTTGGCTGCATGCAAGGCAAATGCCCCCACCCCTACCTAGCTGTGCTATCGCTCCAGCCCTTCCCATATGAGTATTATTCCTCCATTTCCCCAGCCAGTGGGCACTAAATTTCTATTTTTGTTTCTTGCAATATTGTTTCCACATCCTGAGAAAAAGTATTAAAAGATAATGATCTCCCCCTTTGGAGATTCCCAGAAACATTTCTAGGGAAGACTGAAAAGAAAACAGGTAAATTAAAAAAAAAAAAAGGAAATAGGAAAGGGAAGAGTAGAGGGAAGTAGCTACTAACTACAATGTGGAGAGAACCAGGTTCCCTACTCAGCAGTGTGTATGTCATATTAGGGTCAGATGAAAAATGGTCATTGAATTTGAAAATCCTTGGCCACCCAGAGAGTCATCATCTTCTCCCTAGGGAAAAGGGCTTTGAGTCAAACTCAAACAGAAAAAAGTACGGGAGGTTTCTGAAGCAACCAGGAGATTCATACTCTTTGTGAGTGCTCTGCTAGCGAAAATTCAATTATAATCTCAGATTCCTTGCACAATGAGAACCACAGTTAATAAAGAACTTGGTGGGGGAGAGGGGGTGCAGCAGTGGAGGATAGTTGTTGTTGACTGAATCCAAAATACAGGAAAATGCATACTGTTTTCCCTGGGTGAAGGTTCTGTCTATGTAGACAAAATGGCAGAGACAAAATTCCTTGTGGGAGGGTGGGAGGAACTCTGATGCGAATAAGGAAGGAAGAGCTTTCTGGGTCTGACTTATTCAAGTTGACTGTCCAAATCAATTCCACTCACAAATAATTGCTCCACTGTTCATTTCATTTTGGCTGAGTAGACACAGTCATGGAAAGCAACTAAGTGGGTCACTTTTTCCCCTGGACCATTTGCGAATATCCTTTTGATTGGAAAATGTCAAAATGTGTTTTGTGCAAAGGTAGCAAGGTCCAGAGTTGCTCAATATCAGTTTACCCATGAAAACAGCATCTATGTTCCAGACCATTTGTGTAATATACACATTGTTTTATTTCTACATAAAAATGTCCTTTCAGTGCAGTTGGGGATGTTGTGAAAAATGACCAATATAATATGACATATATTTGTTCAAGGAATTATAGCTCAATTTGGTACTCTTTATGAGAACATTTATTCATGTCTGTATTCTGTGAATACAGTGCTCCAAAGGTAATTATAATGCATATCAAGCACTGTAAAACTGCACATTAGAGACTGAGTTAAATAGACAATATAAGGTGCACAAACTACAGGCATAGACATAATTTCTACCCAAAGTGAACATTAAGTACTAATCGATTCAAGTGGGAACTTTTACTTACAGGGTGCTTCTCTGGCTCACGCACGGTCCTAGGGCCTATGTGTATACCCGGATCCCGCTGGTGAAAACCCAACTTGCAATTACAGGTTGGAAAATACATCTGAGGGAAACAATGAGGACATTTCACTGAATATGGGGAATGTTGGAGGATCCCATTGACCCTTGATTTATATTACCACAAGGTTTTCTTTAGATTTTTATGGTTCAAATATAGCTTCATTCTAATTTAGAATAGCAGGCAAGTCCTTGTGTAGATGCTCTGTGTGCAAGCAATAATACTTCAGACCAAATTTTCGGGGGACTACAAAGATATACAGTGGCTAAGGTGCTTGCCTTGCACACAGCGGACTAGGATTCACTCCCCAAGACCCCATATGGGCCTCTGAGCCCTAGCAGGAGTGATCCCTGACACAGAGCAAGGAGTAAGGTCTGAGCATCTCCATTTGTGGCTCAAAAACTAACAAAAAATTGCCAAAGTTGAAATGATGGTTATATTCCTTTTTGGAGAAACAAGAAACGCTTATTAGGTATTTAGAGTTCACTTTATGTTCTCTTCACAGGGGTCCTCATTTAAGAAGCAGCAGCTGTTGAGGCATAAAATAAGTTTTCTTAAATTTTCAGAGACTCCTACAGCATAACAAAAGTCCAGCAAGGAAGTTGGGAATTAAGAGAGATCTTTCCTTAAGGCTTCTGGAAAATCAATGGCATAGAATGAATTAATGAAGAATGGCCAAGAAGATACTCGATTTTCTCAAAAGAAGCAAATACCTTGGATGTAGTTTTCCATGGTAAATTGCATAAGCAATTTAACAAATACCAAGGAAATGTATTTTCCAGGTGATAGTGAGTCTGTGAGGAAATATCCATTTGCATGAGCTCACAATAAGGCTCATGCTTCTGGAAACAGGCTATGCCATGTATGTGCTTTCCATGAATGCCACAGTTAAGAAGCCTGGTTGATTTCAAAGTACAATTTAGCAACTGCTCTTGCTGACAATGAAAAGTGAGGGTTGTTCTAGGCCATCTCTAGCAAAGATCTCAAACTTTCCTTCTTATTTGAATTACATGGAGAACTTAAGAAAATTTATAATGCCTTTATCGTATATCTAATAACATGATGGAGGGTCAAACTATAAATCATGACCATACATCAGATTCATCTTTGGGATGGAACCCAGGTTTCAGTGTTCTAATTCTGTTTAGGTCATTCCAATGTGCAATCAATTTTGAGAAACACTGGTTTCTAGCAGAATTTGAATATGTCTTCAGTTGAGATAATGACATACTGATGAAACTGGAACAGAGAAAGAGAACACACAGGGAGAAATTGTCAAATTTAACAATGATAAAAGGATTTGGTGTATTTAGGTAAGGACAGCGTACCTGTTTTAATTGCTTCTCTAGTTTTTCTCTCTCCATCTCACAAGCTCTCATCTATGAACCAAAAAGAAGAATTTAATTAACAAAAAGAATTCACATTATTAGTTCCCGAAATACTCCTGACCCAGGGATCAAGCAGTGATAGCAATTATGCCAATGGATGTAGTTGAATTGATTTCTTCACACACACAGTTTGGTAAAGTTGGTGGGATTAAAATTGTTATTTTGATTTGTTGAGGGTATTGTAATTTACATCTTAAATTAATGTGTTGATAGATACTTATTTCTGTTGATTAGTAAATGAAATCAGGATTGATTAATTGGCCAACCACACATTCAGAGCCTTCCATAAAAACTTTTCCAAACTATTGTGAATCACTTTTATGAAAATAAAAAATATATATATAAAACATTTTTTCTTCAAAGTTGGATCTATCCGTGCTGTAGGCCAGGTTACTAATATCAGGGCTTTACATAATAATTCAGGGCTGTAGGGATAGCACAGCAGGCAGGGCATTTGCCTTGCATGCAGCTGACCTGGGTTTGATTCTTCCATCCCTCTCGGAGAGCCCAACAAGCTACTGAGAGTATACTGCCTGTACAGCAGAGCCTGGCAAGCTCCAATGGTGTATTCGATATGCCAAAAACAGTAACAAGTCTAGATGTTACTGGTGCCCACTCGAGCAAATAGATGAACAACGGGATGACAGTGCTACAGTACTAAATCCTCTCAGTGCTTCTATGAGATACTTATTATTCTCCCTATTTTTAAAAAAATTTTATTAGTGAAACACCATGAGGTACAGTTGTAGACTTACAAATTTTTGTGCTTGGGTTTCAATTATACAATGATCAAGTACCCATCCCTCCACCAGTGCCCATTTTCCACCACCATGGATCCCAGTATCCCTCCCACCCCCCATCCCCTTCATCCCACCCTGCCTCTGTCACAGGGCCTTCCCTTTTGTTCTCTCTCTCCTTTTGGGTGTTGGGTTTGCAAAAGAGGAACTGATTAGCAATCATGTTTGGCCTATAGTCTACTTTCAACATATTTCTCCCATCCTGGGAGGATCCTCCCAACACCCTTTATTTGGTACTCCCTTCTCTCATTATCATTATTCATAATAGTCATATTCTATAAAACCAACATGAATAGTGAATTAGCAAATACTAAACCAGTGCTCCCAGGAGTGTGCTGGTTTGGGTTCCTACCCTCTACTTATGCTAATGTGAGCTAGAAAGGATCTTCTTTCATTCTTTCATGATCTAGAGAAGTGTGCCTTGCAGAAAACAGCATCAACTTAGATTACCAGGAAGTAAAAGTAGCAGGAAACTCCATGAAAATGTTAAATGCATTGATTCTGTTTATAATACATTTAACAGATCATCAAATCATATATTACATCTTCCTATGAAGTCTATCATCCTTTTCCTAGAGTGAATAAGACTTTTTAAAAGGAATCATTAGACTATTATTACTTTAAAGAAAAATTTGGATAGTTTTAAGATACTATATAAATAGTTCTTTGCTCCTAAAGCAGAATTACACCATACTGTACCTTAGATCATTTATTTTGTTGACATTAATTAGAAGTTACAGATTACGTGAACTTAGAATCACTTGTATGTTATAGTCTATAGTGCATAGTTATGTGTTCCTATGTACTAGAAACAAGAACATGACCAAAAATCTTTTTTTTTCCTTCCAGTATAGGAATTAAGCCCAGGTCCTGATACATGCAAGACAAATGCTCTTATCACTGAGTAACATCTCTAGAATCTAATATTACCAATGTTAAACACCAATTTATCAACAATCTGAATTTAATGTCACAAAATAGATAAAATTGAGTAAATTCATTTCTGCAGCAACAACTCAGGGAGCCGGACTCTTTGCCAACAGATTCTGATTCAGTCTCTGGCACTGCATGGTCCCCCAAACACCCCTAGAAGTGACCTTTCCTCACACATAGTAAATAAAACATTTTCTTTTCTCTCCCATTGTTCTACAAAGTAGACTGCATAAATTATTTTCAGAAAAACATTTATTATTTTACCACTATTTCATTTCTTTCCATTTCTTTGGGTAAAAAAAATGATTCTGCTAAATAATTTTTTTCAAGAGAAATTAGAAATTTCAAGTTAATCCTTGAAAATATGTCAAGGAAGAAATTAAACTTAATTCACAATTTACTTTGTATTAGGAAGGAAATAATGACTAATTTAAAATTTACTGTAAAACCAAGGCTCTTGAAGCTACAGAGATGCCATCACGTCTCACAGTAATTTCCTACTTATTGAAAAGCAGTCAGGAAATCAAATATTTTGTGGTTCATTTTCTTTTTTTTAGCCCAAATTGCTTTTGTTACACTGATCTTCATTAACATCAGTATTTACTCATCGTGAAAACTTCCTGGGTCTATTTTTAATATATTTTATTACACTTAATTTTAGTATGCTTACATTTGATATATTCTATTCCAATACACTGGTTAGCATTATCTGGCTGTTTTGAGAGTATTCTGGTTACAATAAATCTATAAATCCACTGAAATAAATTCTTGGTTTAATCAGATATATAAGTGATATTTAGAAAAGTATATGTTTCAGGGAGACATACCAATATAACTCTTGAAAGAAAATAAGGATTTTTAAAAATAACATCACTAGACTGGAGTGCTATAGGCTTAAATTTGAGCTGTAGGTAATTCACTTTCCATTCTACCAAAATAAATATTGTAAGAAAAAGATCAAAAGAAATAAATTTCATAAAAAGCTTTGGATTTCAGTTTCTTTGGTAACTATCACCTTAAAACACAAAATGAAAAAGCTCTACTCATTTTCAACTCTTAAGGGATTGTTTGAGAATGATTTCATAGCAGGTGTTAACTTCTCAAAAAAAAATCCCCAAAGTATGTCAATTAACAGAAACTAAAAAAAATTGAATTTTTAAAGAAAGAAAATAAAAAAGACACATATGCTGGCAAAAATTATTTTGCTTTAACTCATACCTTAGAATGTAGTCTGTTCAACTGGGCTTGTGAGGTTTGGTTAATTTTCTGTAATTGTTCTTTCTCCTGATTAAGTCTTTCTCGGTCTGACCGTTCCTTTTTGAAGTCTTCTTCATATATTTGTACCTATAAAACATTAACTTGATGTTAATGTTAGCTTTCTTTTCTCTTATGCCATATTAGAGATTTCAGAAGAGCTAGTGTTTGACTTCTGCAGTCTGAGATACTCCTAACTTCCTTTCATAAATAGTTCAAGGTAGGATTCCCTCTGGATACATGGAACTATAATAATATCATTAACTATGTTTAGAATGGCAGTTCTTGTTCCTCTTTCAGCATGAATCAGGAATTCATGAGTAATAATATGGATATTTGGGAGGAAAGCACCCCTCATTCATGATCCTACTAAACTTTCCATTACTGTGACCATCTCTGTCCCCTGCTTACTGCTAAGAGTCACTGTTTCAGGATAAATCATCCACTGCTGATTTAAGGATGGTTGTTTTAAGGCCAGTGGTTTAGTGTTGACATCCCAATGTGGTACTGTTTGGACCCTGTGGTTCTGGGGACTAGTGGTGGTCAGGGATCTCCAGGGCTATATCTGGCAATGCTTGGGAGGATGCATGATACCAGGAATTAGACCCAGATAAGGTACATGCATGCACCATAACCTCTATATTATCTCCCTGGCCCCCCGAGTTCTATTAATTGTAAGTCAATAATAATAGTACAGTTGATAATAGAAAAAAACATTTTATATAGACATTTTATTTGTCTGTGTGTATTATATATATATATATATATATATATATACATATATTTGTGGAGTGGGAGGGGGAACATGTGGCTGTGCTCAGGGATTACTCCTACCTCTGCACTCAGGGATAACTCCTGGCAGTGCACAGGGGACCATATGTGTCAGTGACCTAGGATTGAACCCAGGTCAGCTGCATGCAAGGCAAGAACCTTATATGGTGCTATATAGTATATTATCTTTCTAGCCTTAAAATCTTTAATACTATATATAGAGTTTTAATGGTTTTGTTCACCAGAAATTTTGTGAGAACTATACACCAGCCAAGCTGACATTCTGTTTTTGTTATTTTGGTTGAGAGCCGAGGGTCAATTCCAGACATATTCAAGCTAACATTCTGCAAACAGTTGCCAGACACATTTGAAATGGGAGAAAGACGTCTGATCAGAACGAAGCACTGTTTATCAAACTCAGCACCAACATGGATGTCATCATTTTTGTCAGGTGGCCAAGATTCTAGCTCAATTTCTTAGTGAATTCAAACCCTCGAGTGTTTCCCGTGGCACTTGATGATGAAATGCTTATGGGTGCCCATTTAGAAATGTGAACACTTTAAATGTGTACGTAGAAAGTAGCAAGAGAGCCACACAAAACTCATGGAGACAGAATCTGCACTTCACTTGGGGATTATGAAAAAAAGAAAAAGAATGCCTGTCATTGTCTGTATCAAGTATGAGCTAAACCATTACTGTGAACTCCATGTGTGAGGTTGCCTCTCACATGTGGTGTGCATTGCATGAGAGCGTGGAAGATGATCCAAGGGTCAGGATATAAGCAGAACATAATTTCCTCTTGTTTTAAAGAGGAATGGTACTTTAGAGGTTGAGAATTGCGGTGGTGCTATAGTACTCTGAACACTACTTCTATTTTCTCTTGGGTTTATTTCTAAACTATTTACTTGATCCTAGAAGAAATGAAGCATGTCATTCCAAAGGAGTTAATAGAGAGAAAATCCAACTTTACCATCAGTGCTTTACCTCCGTAAAGTCAATCACAGAAATAATGTGATTGCTGGATTCTTCCATATATTGCTATAAGAATGACTGTAATTGGCATTTAATCATAGCATAAAAGCCAGCAAATCATACTCAAGAATATTAGAAAAATACTTTCCAGCATATTAGTCTAATCGTTATCTCTGCCCACCCCCCACCCACTGATCATATATTACTGACAATGTGAGCTCCAGGGGGGAATTCCTATGTATAGCCTGTGTTCATTCATATACCCATGAACTGCTCCAGTCTTTTACCTGCATTAGTTTATTTAGCCTCTCCTAGGAAAAGAGATGTGATGTGCATGAGCAGCCCTCACTGAAGCCAGTTCCAGCTGGGCAAACTAAATTTAGATTCAAATAGTGTATAGTCTGTGCTGTATTTCCACAGACTTGTGCTGCAGAATAGACACGGAAATGACATAGAAATTTAAAGAGCGAACCTGTTTTCCTGTTGCTATCTACCTGGTGATAGTGAATAAGGTGGAGTGATGAGGAGAGACATCATTTAATTACTTGGTGGTGCCATTTGTATGTAGGAATAGATGGTATATCTGAGTCTGAGTGATTTTTGTTGTTTGAAGACCTGGAGGCTAGCACTTGCAGATTAACATCTAGGGTTTTGATTAATATTCTTTTTCAAAATAAATCAAATCTACCTGAAGTGCTCTAGACCTGGCATTCGTAAAATCTCACCAAAAGTTAATTTGTATGCCCCTCTATTCGCTGTGTGATCTTGGGTAAGCCATTTAGCTGGAACTCATGCCCTCTTTCACAAAGTATGAGTTGGACAAGATAATCCATTTATTTGCATTAGGCTTTAAAACTAGATCATTGAAATAAAATCAATGCCACAAAACCCCGAGCACATTTTGAGTGGGAAAATTTCCAAAACTGTCCAAAGGAGCATGAACAGTGAACCCACATTCATTCTCCATATGACCATGCTGCTTTTAATGTCTTACCTGTTGCTTGAGAACTTCCATTTCTGTTCTTAGGTCCTCATGGCTGCAGTCCCTTTCATACTTCCCCAAACCATGCTCAGGAAATGAAGAACAGTCAACTTTCAGGGCATCCTGAAGTGCCTGTGTTACAAGAGAAGCATTCTGGTGATCTAAGAGCTCCCACATCAGGTCGGTAAATTCTTCCGTAATTGCTACAATCATCTCAAATACACTCACTTGGTAGATTTTTTTTTTTTATTTTTTGGGTTTTTTTTTTTTTTTTTTTGGTTTTGGGGCCCGTACTCAATTCTTCTCAGAAATCACTCCTGGTGGACCCAGGGCACCATATGGGGTGCCAAACCGAACCTGAGTCAGCTCCAAAGCAAGGCAAGCTCCTTACCTGCAATACTGTTTGGCCCCGCCAGGTTGAATTTTTAATGTGAACTCTGTGACTAACTTTCTTCTATATGATTTTCTAGAGTATATGTATTATTTTTTACTAGAACTTCTGTCCTTTCTCTAAGAATATTCATAATTATTCAGCTCTACTGGTTATTTGGCAAGGCATGCATGTTGAAACTCCCTCTGCCTAGCCAACCATGAAAGGAAAAAAACCATAGCCATAGCTTTTCTCTAGATTCCTTGCAGCAATTAGATATACTCTGTCACAATGAAACTTTGAAACATTAGAAACATCTGATGTTTGGTGGATAGGTGATAAATGTGCCCATCTCTGGAAACTGCCCCAAATATCCTGATCTGTAGACAGGATCTGAGAATTTGCATTACTCAAAAAGTTGATGGTATTCCTTCAGGTGGCAGTGTGTATGCGTGTGTGTGTGTGTGTGTGTGTGTGTGTGTGTGTGTGTGTGTGTGATGACCACAACAGTGATGCTCAGGGGCTCAGGGGTAACTCCCAGTTCTATACTTAGGGTCAGTACTGACAGTACCAGGAAGTCCATATGTAGTGCCAAGGATTCAGCTGGGATCAGCTGCATGCAAGGTTAAAGTGCTATAAGCCCTGCACAATCTTTCTAGTCCTCTAGATGGCGTATTGAGTAATACTTGCTGTCTAACTGTACTTCCTGTAGGAGGGACATCTTCTACGTGTGACTTCATGTAGCTTCACTATTGATTAGGTAGGTGATACTGTTCTTTAATCCTGTCCTTTACACATGATGTGATCTGACATAGCCACGGTTATATATATTCTTCAACATCTATTAATTCACCACAGGGCAGAGAGAGAATTTTGCTTTTATGGATCTTGATATTATCATCGAACAAGCAAGGAGAGGAAGGAACATTTACTAACAAGATTATCCTCCTTACCCTTTAGCCCACAATACTCTCCCATAGATTATACTGTGTCAAATGAAACACAAAAGACAAATACCAGTCCTTTTCTCAATTCTGAATACCTTTGGTTTAGAATGAGTTCAGTGAAATGACTGCCCCAAATAGTAAAAGAACAAAACTCATCCTAGTGATGCTTCAGAGCTCACACATAATACAATGACTTTCACATTGTCGGATGAGTACTTTACATAAAAAGAAAAGGTTCACTCTCAGAGCTTTAAGAAGAATGTGTTTCCTCTGGGAATTCTTCAGTAGCTTCAATAATGTCCTTTTGATGAAAATGTTAGTTACTTACTCCCCTGCATTATTAAACAATGTGGTCAAAAGGGAAGATAGTACCAAGCAAATGTATGATCTTGTCTCTGTGAAAAGAGAGGAGGAATTTCCCAACAGAATGTCTTAAAATCTGTGGACACTGTCCACTCTGATGTAAATTGGTCACCCCCACCCAAATTTGTAAGAGAAACAATTTTTTTTCTCTTCCTCCAAGAATAATTAAAAAGAAACAAAACAAGAAGCTGTTTAACAATTTGTGCTTTGTTAGCCTTTGTTGCCAAATGACATAGTTCAAGGAAATATAATCCGTAATTTTGTAAATTCTAATTTTAAAAACAGGTTAGTAGTAGCAAGATAGAGGTTAAGTCACAATAATCAAATATAACACTTTTCATATCCTACACCAGTGATTTCCAACCATTTCACACCTAGAGTCCAGTACTACTCTCATGAAACAGCACCTGTGAAAATGACTGTTCTAAGGATTGATTACTGGGGGAGGGGTGGGTGGGAAGTGGCCTGCACCTGGCAGGACTCAGGCTTTGGGCTTTTGGCTTTAGACTCCAGGTCATTCCTGGCAATTGTAGGGTTGAACTAACTGGATTGGCTACATGGAAGGCAAGTGCCTTGCCCCTGTATTATTCTCCAGCCCCAGTAGAATATTTTATGGTCTTCTTATATTTAAATGACTAGATCTACCCTTCATGTTATTCTTCTAAAATTTTTGCAGCAAATTTTGAATCATGGTTAACTCAGACATTTTTCAGCATGAAATGGACTGAAGGTTTGTTTAATAAAGTATACTGGTGCTGATAGTCACTATTTAAGATAGTGACTATATTTTAGAACAAATAATTATTTATTCTATTTATCTATTTATTATCCTCCTCTCTTTTCACAGAGACAAGATCATACATTTGCTTGGTACTATCTTCTCTCTTGACCACATTGTTTAATAATGCAGGGGAGTAAGTAACTATTTTAGACTAATCACTGAATATTTTAGAATAGTGACTGAGCTTTTTTATGTTATTGAGAAAAACCCTGTAACTATTCTAAAATAGTGACCATCAGCACCAGTATACTTTATTAAACAAGCTTCAGTCCACTTCACCCTAGTGAGACCTCAGACAAATCAGTTTTGCCCATGGGTGGCACTGACTGCCTAGCCTCAGGTAATTTCTTTCCCATTAGTTAAAACATCTGGCTTTTTAAGAACTGGATGAAAACAATGCCCTTGGGTAGTTCCTTCAAAGCCAGTAAGTAGAACTGAGTACACATTCTCATGTGGACTTCTGAAAACCATATGTTAATTATGAAGCTGACTTCTTACAAATTTCTGGGTGAATGACTCAGCAGGCAGTCAGTTTGTGCGGGAAGGGCAGGCTCCAGACCCCAGGCTAAAGTTGAGGGTTTGCACAACTGACTGCACAAATCGACATTTTGAATAATTTTATTTATTATAGTGATTGAAAAAGAAAAACAGAAAAATCTTCACTGTAATGGCATAATTTCTTACATCTCAGGATCTCCCTATGCATGTGCTAAATGAGAAAAATTACCCACTTCACCACTCATCACTTTTTTATCTATATTTTTTAAAGAAACAGCTTAAAGGATAGCTATGTGGAAAGAAATCTTTTCCTGTTTGAACACCCTTTTGTTTTCATCATTACTTGTATGTAATGCATTATGCCTCTTAAAGTATAAATCTTAGATCCAGAGTTGACTATTGAACATTTTAAAACCTGCAGCAAACTATAAACCAGCTAATTAAGTCGATTAAATCATTTATTTAGCAAACATTTAAGAACCTGCTATAAGCAAGGTCCTATTCTAGCACCCAGAACATTGAACAAAAGAGAAAAGCTCAGAAACACATGATAGTTATTACATTATGGCTCTTTTTTCATTTATGTACATGTTAAAATTATAGTTTGTAACTTCATTGTTATAAGTATATTACTATGAAAGTATTTTTCAACTAAAACGTTTCTTTTGTATTTTGCATTTCAAGAATAATTAACCATATTCAAGGACTCCTGTATTAAGTATTATGAGCTTTCAATTCTGCCCACTATTTAATATAGCACCTGGCCTGCAAAATCCTACCTGCATGATTGGTAAACAGAAAACAAATAACATAATAAACATGAGTCATTAAACATATATTAGGTAGTTTGAAATTTCAAGAGAAAACCAACAAAATAGTAAGTACTATAAGTATAGTATGCCATTTTAATTAGCATAGCAGAAAAGTCCTTTTAAGGTGATATTTCTCAAAAATATTTACTGATACAAATTTTTCTTAGTGAGACTTGATCATAGACAGTAGAATAAAAATTTGTATTATTCTGACTTACTATATCTTGATAGCTATAAAAACACAAAAAGCTGAAGGTCCACATGAACATGAGCAAAAAAATTTAAAGAATAAAAGAATTCTTGACTACTGATATTTACAGGATTTAGACGTTAGTGCCTGCATTAGGGGAAATGAACTAGAGAAATATCAAAAAGGAGAACAATATTAAAAGAATCTCAATGTTAATGACTCTAATTCATTTGGGAAAGGACTTTCTAGCATGAAACAAAAAGGGGAAGATTTATTTTCCTGAATTTTTTCTCTAAATATTATTTTTCTCCCTGTAATCCCATCAGCGGCCAAGACTCAGAGACTATAAAATCCAGATCCCGGACGAGAACAGTGCAGTCTCTGCCCCCGCGCCTGGGTGTTCCTTCCCGGAGTCCCTTGGAGGGGAGTGGGTTGAGCTTTCCTCCCCGCCCCGACCAGGGCTACGGCAGCCAAAGACCTCCAGGACCAGCCACCACCATGCTGAGACCACTCTCCGCACACCTGAAGGTACTGGCAGAGGGACAAAGCCACGCGGGTTCCGGGGCCGAGACCTCCAAGCCTACTCGAATTGGAGTCGAGCATCTTCCACCCAGATCCTCCAAATTCCAGTAGGCGGGGGTCACACCCACCACCTGGCCCCCTGGCGCCGTGTAATCCCATCAGCGGCCAAGACTCAGAGACTATAAAATCCAGATCCCGGACGAGAACAGTGCAGTCTCTGCCCCCGCGCCTGGGTGTTCCTTCCCGGAGTCCCTTGGAGGGGAGCGGGTTGAGCTTTCCTCCCCGCCCCGACCAGGGCTACGGCAGCCGAAGACCTCCAGGACCAGCCACCACCATGCTGAGACCACTCTCCGCACACATGAAGGTACTGGCAGAGGGACAAAGCCACGCGGGTTCCAGGGCTGAGACCTCCAAGCCTACTCGATTTGGAGTCGAGCATCTTCCACCCAGATCCTCCAAATTCCAGTAGGCGGGGGTCACACCCACCACCTGACCCCCTGGCGCCGTGTAATCCCATCAACGGCCAAGACTCAGAGACCATAAAACCCAGCTCCCGGAACCACGCGGCCGCGTGACATCTTATTATGACATCTTATTATCTCATTCCTACTTTGGAGAAACTTGCAGGCTATGGAATGTAGCCTGCCCACAGGGCAGAGTCTGGCAAACTCCCCGTGGCCTACCAAATATGCCAAATACCAGTAACAATGATGGGTCTCATTCTCCTAAAGAGCCGTGAATATAATCTCAGGGCTAGGATGAAAGAGACGTTACTGGGGCCTGCTCGAGGCAATCGACGATTAACAGGATGATGAAATGAAATGAAATGAAATGAGAGGACAGAGACGGACATGTTTATGAAGTTATTCTCCACTTTCCCTTTTCTCCTGCACAATAATTTTCCCAGCAAACAAACTGAACATATCATTTCTAAAATACTCTTTCAACTATCCTTTTGATACTTAAGTGACATCTCTGAATACTAGTTAACTATAATGCTACACACAGTCCAAAGTATAGGAATTTTTCCAACCACCCACATTTATTCTAGAAGACAATTTCTCTAGTTTTGGTCAAAATATATTGTGCTTGAGTGATGCCTATCAAAATAAGTCATAGCTTACATGGTCCACCCATAATTTGGTTCTTAGAAAACTCAGCAACAGCAAGGGATTTAAGTTGTTCCCTGAATAAGTCAGTGATCCCTTGCCCCTAGGAAAGTAAACTATTTGGAATGTAAACTATTTGTCTATAAACCATGTACACACACACACACACACACACACACACACACACAAACATCTACATCATTCCTTTGCAGCAAATCACAGGTAACACCTTGCAATAAAGTTAGAGCAAAAATATCAAACCACTTGGATTTTCCCAAGAGACATGCCTTCCACCTCAACCATATTAAAGGTGAATTTCAGATTGGTTCCTGGGAAGGAAGCCATCTTGACCTGGGGGTGGGGGTGGAGGGCTGAGGAGCAGAGGCTAGGGGGTGAGAGGGCCTCATTTAGCCTGCTTCAGTGCAATCTACCGAGCACCCAGCCCCACAGTGATTATTTTAAAGAGAAGCCTATTTTCTCAGGATCCTTTCTTGTGGTTGACAGAAAGAGATGCTATCATTTCATATAAGTACTTGGTTTATGTTCTTTGAACTGAAAAACAAAAAAAATTAAAAAAACTTTTTTTAACTGTCCTCTCTCATTTTCTTTTATTTCTCTTTTTCATAGTGATTCTTTGTAGAATGGATTTCTGTAAGCTCCAAGCAGGGCCGTTTGAAAATTGCAGATAGGAGTGATTTATAAAATTAAGAAGACTCTTCTCTGCAAGTCTGAGAGTCCCAGTGCAGAAGGGATTTTTGTTGAAACTTTTAGTCTTGAATGTTTTTAAAGGCTCCTTCTAGGCCAGCCACACAAGCTAGGGGAAAAGGCAGCTCAGATAGAGAAGGAAGCACCAAATAAAGGTGTTGGGAGGATCCCCCCAGGATGGGAGATGCATGCTGAAAGTAGACTATAGACCAAACATGATTGCCACTCAATGCCTCTTTTGCAAACCACAGCACCCAAGAGGAGAGAAAGAACAAAAGGGAATGCCCTGACACAGAGGCAGGGTAGGATGGGGGGAATGAGGGGTGGAGGGACACTGGGATCAGTGGTGGTGGAAAATGGGCACTGGTGGAGGGATAGGTACTCGATCATTTTATAATTGAAACACAAGCACAAAAATTTGTAAGTCTACAACTGTACCTCATGGTGTTTCACTGATAAAAATTAAAAAAAAAAATTCAAGAAATTCTGTTACAAATTGAAAAAAAAGGCTCCTTTTCTCTTAAGTCTGATTTTCCCAGCTTGACCAGCCCTGATACCTTATTGAGACGTTTTATTTCACATTCATAATGTTCCTTCTTCTTTTTTGCAAGAGCATTTTTTTCCTTCAAAAGCATATTCTCTTTCTTCAAGTCATGTAATTCTTCATTTAGGCCCTCCTTTTCCTTCTGAAGTAAAAAACAAGAAAATCAAATATAAATGATATTGTAGGATTACTAATGAAATCAAATACAAAAACAGGACCTTCTTATAACATTAATGTCATATAGTCTTTGGGTGAGAGGATTATGGTACAAGAAATCTTTTTTTTCTCTTTAGTGCTCCTAAGTTTTGGGACGTTTTCTCCCCTCAAACCCACCACCTCAGAAAAAGACATCCCCCAGAAAAAAAGATATAAAAATCTCTAATCCTCACTTCCAAGGGTCAAAATCATTCAACTGAGTAAATTGATTCTATGCACTGTTGAAAGATAATGGAGCAAGTGCTCTGTGAAAGTAATTCAGGTTTCCTAAGATAAAAAAGAATCATTGCAATAGAAATACTCACTATACTAAAACCCAATCTATTCATTCTGTACTGGAGAGGCAGAGAAGAGATTGGAGGGATGGAGAAAACTTCTGGAAAGTACGACTCATACCCCACCCCCACCAGCACTAGGGCCTGAGGATGTGACTCAAGTGTCAGAGTCAAGACTTCTCCTGTCAGCGACCTTGAGTTCAGTACCTGGTTGCTATAAAACCATCATTCATCCAAGTTTCAGATTATCTCCAGAGTCCTACGTCTTAAATAACTAAAGCAAAGCTAGCTGCTTAGGCACGAACAGGCTTTAAATTCAGATAATGTTTGTCTTCTAACTCAAATATATATTGCAGATAATAAACTGGAGGAGTGAATTGGATTCTTAATGAAGTTGAGAGGAGGAGTGAATTGGATTCTTAATGAAGTTGAGATTTGTTTTCATTTTATCAGTGTGTGTGTGTGTGTGTGTGTGTGTGTGTGCGTGTGTGTGTGTAAGTGGGGATTGAACTCCCACATGCAAGACAAGTGCTCTAGCACTGAGCTATATTCCGTACCAAGAGACTGAAATTTTAACTTAATCAAATTAATATTTTAGAATTTAGGTAAAGCAAGTTGAGAAAGTAGCTATACATGTTTGGTAGCTTAGGAATTAATGTTTCCTAATAAAATAATTTGCTTTAAATGATCTATTTTAAGAAATCTATTTTAGGCCAGAGAGATAGTAAGATGCTTTGCATGTGGCTGACCTAGATTTGATCTCCAGCATCACATATGTTTCCCTGAGCACTGCAAGGAGTATTCCCTGACCACAGCTAGGTATGGCGACCCCAATTTTTTTTAAAAGAAGGTCTATATTGGGTGACTTTCTTTAAAAATGAAAGCATTTTATTTGCTTTTCTCTAAATTCAATGGGCTTATGCACCTAGAAAATTGTAAAACAAAGGGCAAAGGAGATAGCACAGGGGTTAAGGTGCTTACTTTGCATGTGGCCAACACTGATTTGATCCCTGGCACCACATATGGTCCCCCTGAGCACTACTTCCAGGAGTGGTTTCTGAATATAGAGTCAGGAGTAAGCCCTCATCACTGCTGGGTGTGGTCCCAAACAAAAAACAAAAACCAATGCTAAAAAATACACAATAAATAAAATTATAAAACAAGAACTGCATCAGGGTTTGAGTAAAGCAAAAACAGTTGAGAGACTGTCAAGAGTGTAAGTCCAGTTTAGGTATGCTTGCACACTTCTGCCTCCTGGAGGAAACTGCAACTCCCAGCCACAGACAGCTCGGGATTGGAAGTCAACCAGTCCCTCATTCACCAGTGCATCATTAAATGTGCATATTGGTCCACCAATTTTAGTTTGAGGCACTTCAGGGCCTAGTTTGCTTAGCCAACCTGACTGCAAGATTCTTTTCTTTCTAAATACAGCCCTCTCTGTCCCTCTGTAATCAGAAACAGTATTTAGAGCTTCTGGGGTCTCTGTCTATAGCTGCAAATGCTCCAATAAAGGGCTCTTTGTTCCAGCTGCAACAGGTTTCTTGTTCAACAAAAGAACCAATCCTTTTCTCTTCTAGGGTCACTTAAAAGAAAAGTTCCCAGCTGCTGGGCTTGGGTGGGGGATAGGTCAGGGTGTGAATGGAACAGGAAAGAGTTAGCACATTGCCCAAAGGGAAGTGCTACACCTTGTCTCCCTGACTCACTGTGACAGAGACCCAGCCAGTTAGGAATTTCCAGGCTGACAGTGACCTCAGATGGAAGCATGTTTGAAAGTACAACCAATGCTTCAGATTATACTTGTACTTGTATACAGATATTTACATCTCTGAATATCTTCTTTTGTATCTACAAAAAAGTGAGAAGCCACAAGACCTTGAGGGATGCCTCCTTTTTCTTTTTCCAGCCTAAGTGATCCAATAACTAAAAACAAAAAAGAGAAACCATCTGAATGGCTACTGTACATGTTTCCACCAAGAATTAATGGAAACTTTGAATTTAAAATCTAGACACAGGTTCCATCTCTGCTGGTACTCCTTGACCATCTCAAGTCATCTGACCTTGGTACACATTAGAGATCGCGAGAATGACCTACTTTTGAAAATGTAATTTAAAAAAAGCTTCTGGCATGGCGACGCGAACGCAAGTAACTCATCAGGCCCTGTTTCAGTAATATTATAAAAAAATCTAACAGTCGAGCATTGATTATAAAATGTTGGTTTTGTGATTGTCAAAGTCCTGTCTGTTTATAAAGCTCTTGTTGACCCCAAAGATGCCATCCTGTTATTAATAACACTTAGTAATTAAAATCATAAGTAGCTGTAGGAAAAAAAGGGGAAAAAAACCCGTTTATGCTCTTTGGCTCAGCGGCTCGAGAAATTTATGAATCAGTTCTGTCTGCTGCTAAAGCCCAAAAGCTTCTGGAGAATTTCCCTTTATTTCGGGTTCCGGAGAGTGGTCGGGTCCCTAGGGGCTGGCGTTCGTGTCGTGCAGCCGTGCCAGCAGCAGGAGCTGATCTCCCTGCAGACGTGCGTTTCCTGCAGAAGCAGGACCGGGATGCTCGGGCGCGCGCCCACCTCTGGGCGCTGCAGCGGCTCCGCGGTGACCTCCCGCGGCGGGTCGGGCTCCAGCGCACTCAACAATCTCTCGGCCACGTCCAGTTTCGTTTTCAATTCTGTGACCTGAGGAAGTCGTGGAGAGAGACAGCTTGAACACACAGAGGCAGTGTTTTCGTCGTCATTTGTGCGCTAGCAACCACACCTGCCACTTGTAGGAGTCCCCAAAGCGAAGCTTCGGCTTCCCACAGCCCACTTGGCCCGCTAAAGATCCAGCTATTTGCACGTAAAAATGGAACTTCCTCAAAATAAGGGAAAAACCGAACTTCTCCCTGCACACTTCCAAATCCTACAGGGAGCAACAGACTACACTGGCCTTTGCATGCCCCAAGCACTGAGAATACTGATTTTTTGTTTGTTTCATTCGTTGCTTATTAATCAAAAAGACTGGTCCAGAGGAGCCAGGCCACGAACGCACCTCCCCAGGCTTGGGGATTCTCAGCCCCACTCTCCACTGGTAGGCAGTCTAAACATTCAACGTGGGCTCGGGGTCTTTCAGGTTTGGAGACTTCCAAAGTTGATCACAAGATTGAAAATTACAAAGCGGCCTTGGCCCTGGTCTGTCTGGGGGAGTGGGGGACATTTCCTAAATTCAATACTTCTCTGAATATCAAAAATGGGGAAGAAATGAGCTGTACTATGTATTAGTCATTTGTGGTCAAGTTTCTTAATTCTGAATTATTTGGGGGAAATTTACTTTCTCTCTTCTCTCTTCTGTTTAAGCGTGGATTGATTGAAAATTGTAAATGGACTTTATACTAACTTAAGGATAATGTTATCCCCAAATTCCTTTCTCATCAAAGCTAAAGATCCTGGGCAGAGAACTTTAGCGAGTAGAGGGAATACCCTCCTTTCTTCACACAATTACTACTGTTTCTGTCTTTATTTGTGAGAAGTAGCTTGTACCTTCTAATGTAAGAATAGTGTGCTAGACTTATGTAAAAAGTATGAACTTTAAGCTATGTCTCACCTCAGATATACCTGCTGTAAGTATCATTGCTGGTAACAAAGCTAACACCAGGGTAATTATTTTATTATGATAAAGGTGCATAAAACCTCCAGAGAAAGCTCTTTTGCCACACTCTTTAGCATCAAAAGGCCAATGATGCACTTGCCACCCAGACCTCTGTCAATTTTCAAAAAACCTGTCTCAACTGAAATCAATGAAAATCTTTACACACTTGGACCCCCTATATTACCAATTTAAATAAACTCCAAACAAAGAGAAGGCATTACCTTTTTTTCATATAATGTTTTCATATTTCGAAATTGCTGATCCCATTGCTGGTTGACTTCTAGGAGCTAAAAGTATTAACATTTGGTAAATCAACAAAGGATTTCTACCTGCTTGGAAGATTGGTCAAATTAAATTTTTTTCTTTGGGGGAGGGGTATGTACATTGGACTCTTATCAGCCCTTACTTCTGATTCTGTGCTCAGGGAACCCCCTTGGCCGTGACTGGGGGGAATCAGATGAAGAGCCAGGAACCCAAGGTTGGCTGCATGCAAGGTATTATCTATAACCAATCTTTTTGACCCTCAAATCACTTTTGGACTTGGAGTGTGGGGTTTGGGTCACACCCAGCAGTGCTCAGGGTTTCATCCTGGTTCTGCACTCAGGGATCCTGATAACCATGGTTGACCATATATGTGTTGGGGACTGCAAGGTCTCACCTGCTGTTTTCTCTCTGGCTCTGGTTCTCAACTTACTCTCCTAAAGTAAGATTTTGATAGCCACAAAGAAGGAAGTGTTCCTTCTGTCAAAAATTGTTGAACTGGGAATATTGAATTAAACACAAACCCAACTTTTGATAAATGGGTCACATATGAAAAACTGTGAAGTCTTAAACTCAAATTTTGGTGAGTTTGTTGAACATATTGTCACTATCTTTTTACTTTGCTTAATTAATCCTTTCTGTTTAGTTCAACTAGAATTCAGCAAAAAATCATAAAGATGGTTTCTTATATATTTATTCATATAGGAAGATTTTTTTTTCAAAAATTTCTGGTTTTTTTTCATAGATTCTACAAAATACTTTTCAGCTTTTTATTTTATTTATTTTGCTTTTTGGGCTATATTCGGTGGTGCTAAAGTTCATTCATGGCTCAGTGCTCTGGGATTACTCCTGGCCATGTTCACCAGTGCCAGTGATCAAACTGACCATGAGCAAGGCAAGTGCCCATACTTTCTGTACTGTCTCTTTGACCCTTTTCCAGCTTTGTTAAAATAGAATTTATATTAACATTCCAAAACCTGTGAATAGATTGTCATTTGCTTGTAATATGGTGCTTCATAAAATAAACACATGATTTGTAACAGATATTCAGTGAGTGGATCCTATTACTTTTCATAAAGTAAAGATTCTCAAGAAACAAGCTTTACATGAGGCAAAGTTTAGAAGTCATTTAGGCTCCAAACAATTTGAAGTGTTAACATTACATGCTAATAGAAGGAAGAAGAAGCAATATGGTCAGTGCTTTCATTTTCTTGTAAGAGAAAACTGCAATTTCCTGCATTAGGAGAGATTCTAACACTAATCAAATATGTGCCAAAAGATGAAAAGCAGTCACACTGACAAAAAAAATAGCAAGACTTACTTCCAGTTAGGATGGCGATTACTAGGGAACTCTTATGCTGAAATAGATAGTCATTTTGCATACAACTATATAGTATTATATAGAGATGCCAGATTAGTTGGTATTTTAGGGACTAGCATCTCTATTTTATGGTGACACTTCTTTGCATAGTTCAGTAATTTTCAAAAGGGCACAGTATTTTATGCAGTCTTAGGAAGGAGTTGTAGGAATCATAGAAAAGAATATGAAGAATGTGACCTCTAGAATGGTTTATAAAAGACAACGAAACTTGTCAACAAACAGAATGCTAAAATTGTCACACTTCTCACCTCTTTGTCAAGAAGAATAAAGAAGTTCTAACATTCTTTAAACTCAGAAAAATGTAACTCATATCAGTCACATTCCCAATGACGTTTCAGAAATTTTTTCTCTATTTTTTTAAATTTTTGAATGACAATTTTTAGCCCTATGCAATGGGATCCCCAACTCATGTAGTCAGAGCACCAAAGTCAACTATACTGAAAAGCGCTGACAGTTTGAGTTTCAAGGTGTGTCAAATTGCAAAGCATAAAGGGCAGAGGTGAGAAACTTCCATGATCCTTATAGCGGAAACAAATACATTTTAAGAAATTTATAATTATGGAATTTGTGACTTCCAGTTTAATTTATTTGCCCAAACACAGAGTGCCTGAGTATAGGGAAGTGAATAGAAAAAAATTATTTGCTGTCAAAATGTAGTGCAGTATCCTAGAAATAAGTACTATGACTCAGTAACAAAATTAAAAAGACTAAGTCATACCCTCTTAAGCATGAAACCTGCTGCTTCAACTAATATTTCTAAATTACCTCTTTTCTCTGTTTTTCCAAACACCTTATCTTTTGTTCAAGAGAATTTGTCAAATTCTTTCTTCCTGATGACTGGGCACACTAAAAATAAGTAAATAAATGATAGATGAAACAAACTAAATAGTTTATAAGTCAATAAACAGGACAAATGTTGTCCTTTACAAACTCCACATATTTGACCAACTTCTCTGTTGTGATTCATAAAAAGATCTTATTCTGCCAGTAACCATCCTCTCACCATAGTCCTTCATATAGATCTGTTGTTGAATAAACCCTGTATTATAGTTTAGATTGTGAATTATTTACTAAAACAATCCACTCATAAATTACAAAACATCTCTACAATAGAAAACAAAAGAGTTTAGGATTTCATAAAATTTGGATTTCAATAATTTTGCAAGAAACATGAGCATACTTGTCAGAATCAAGTCAGTCTCAAGGATATTTTAGGTATTTACACAGTAAACATTTCTAAAAAAGTGAATTTTGTTGATGTATCAATAATTTAAAGAGTCAACGGAGTGGTACACCATAAAGAAAAAAGTAAAGAGCAGTCCATATAGCTGAATCCATATAGCTTCCCACATCACAAGCTTGTGTGAAGTTATGAGTTAAATGAATAAATGAACGAATGAATAAATAAATGGCTGGAAGCTGATTTAAAAATTGCAGTCAACTAGTTATCACAATAAACAGAATAGTTATGTTGTAAAGGTGGACATAGATTCTTTAGCATTGTTAATTTTAGGCATCTGGATATAGCCACAAGTATTACAAATTTAGATTACTAATAAATCATTGGCAACATGTGACAGACAGTTAAAGACTTATTCTTCCCCAGTCCCCTGGGTTTGTGGTGTTCATTTAAAGTTCAGAAGCTCTGGAAATTGGCTGTCCTCTGTCCAAATCAACCACCAGCAAAGCTCACTTGAGAAATGTTTTTTCTATTTTAACGCAATACTCTTTTTACTGTGACATCTCTGAATTATATACACAATACAATGAATTGGGTGCTTTGTGTTGTCCCTCAATCTGTTAATCAGTTTTATGATCAATAGTTACTGTGGAGGGCTGGAGCCATAGCACAGCGGGTAGGGCGTTTGCCTTACACACGGCCAACTCGGCGGACCTGGGTTTGATTCCTCTGCCCCTCTCAGGGAGACTGGCAAGCTACTGAGAGTATCTCACCCCCACAGCAAAGCCTGGCAAGCTACCCGTGATATATTTGATATGCCTAACACAGTAACAGCAAGTCTCACAATGGAGATGTTATTGGGCCCGCTCAAGCAAATCAATGAACAACAGGAGGACAGTACAGTACGGTACAGACAGTAGTTACTATGGACCATGAAATTTCTTGAAGATCTTAATGAATAATTGGGAAATATTTTCAAAACAAGATGGTCTTTGCTAGAGTTAATTATAGGAAATGCTCTTTGGGCTGGAGCGATAGCACAGCAGGTAGGGCGTTCGCCTTACACGCGGCCAACATGGCCGACCCGAGTTCGATTCCTCCGTCCCTCTCGGAGAGCCCGGCAAGCTACCGAGAGTATTCGATATGCCAGACACAGTAACAACAAAGTCTCCAATAGAGACGTTACTGGGCCCGCTCGAGCAAATCGACGATCAACGGGAGGGCTCTTTGGCAATCATGGAATTTCAAGGGCTTTTTTTCATTAGAAGTAATTTATAATGGGCCTAAGAAAGGGCTTGGGGCTCAGGAATGCATGCCTTACTTCTGCATGAAACCAAGTTTGATCCAAGCACTCTGTGGACCCCTAATCACCATCCAGTGTAGCTTTAGTGAATGGCCCACAGCATTGCAGGGCTGGAGCATTTGTTCATTGCCAGACTAAACTTTGCTAGGACTAGCTTCTAGAACTTTGACACTGCTTGGGGGGCCTTCCTGTGGCCCTCCCAAAAATACTTTAAAATGATTTTTCTATATTTTCACTAATTACTTGTGTTGTATGTTTTGATGATATTTTATAGTTCCTATTCAGGCTGATGAATAGGAAGCTTCGCTTCTTCCTATTTAAGACCACGTTTTAAAAGTATTCTTCTTTGAGTCAACAAATTCATAATATTCTTGCTTCTGATCTCAAGAAGTTGGTTTGGCTATTTTCCAGAAGTAATGTTGTAGAATTCAGGTGACAAGTACGTTATATTCTCTGCAACTGGGATTTCCCTGAGTTTTTGAAAGCTGGCTAAGAAACAGGACTCATTTCGGATTAGGACAGACTAAATAACAGGTATCTCTGATATGAGAGATGTTGTGAGCCAACCTCAGTCTGAACACATAAAGGCACATGGAGCCTGGACTCTGGACCATTGGTTCTTACTGCAAAAACACTTCCAGTCCCTGTGGGGGCATGTTAGGCATGAGGCATCTTAATCATGGGACCAGAATTTCTAAGAAGAAAGCATAACATGTCTTTTCTTGAAAGACTATATTTTCAAAAACAGTTTTCTGTTCATGACAAAACTGAAAGGATGGTATTGAAGTCTAAAGTTCTCCAGATACTTTCTGTATCCACACGTATCTAGCCTTCCCCCAATGTAAACAACCTCACCAGAGTGGCACTTATTGCAATAGATGGACCACTACAGACACATCACTTCCGTTCTAATTAATAGTTTGTCTTAGAGTTTACTCTTGAGGCTGATCGTTAGAGAGATCAAACATTATAGAGAAATGTAGAATGACAAATGTCTAAAAGTAGTAAACTACCCTAAAATTCTCCTTTGTTCTTCATATTTGTCACACCTTAAATAAGTTCCACAGTGTATTACAATTCACACTAAAGTTCAAGGTTCTCCCATTCTATTCCTTTAGAATGCCTATTTGGTTTCCTGAAAAAATCCTTTCTCTGTTTGTAATGTGAATTTTAAAAAAATCTGTGCCAAGCAACTATTCTCAATCTAGATGCCCGCCTTCTGGGCATCTATATTGAGACTAATCAGGTAGAGGGACAAAGAGATGGAGCAGACACTGTATAGGGGAGCCTAGGACCCCTTACTGCATGGTCCCTCTGGCATCTGAGCAACACCCCGAAACAAAGACAGACAAAACACAATGAGAATAGTAAAAAAATTGCAGAAAAAAAGTAATAAGTGAAATATATTTTCCATAGATAATCTTCTGTAGAAAAATTATGTATCTCCTGACCCTTTTTATTTTATAACTAAGAATTATTAAAAACTACTTACTAAATATTAAGAGAAACTATAGTAATAAAATGGTTTGTTAATCATTCATGTCTAATCAGGGAACTCTTTGGAGATTAGTGTATATTAAACATATAATATAATGTAAAATATATATTGAGATATATGTTAGATGGAAGCAAAGGTGAGGGATCTAGCTCAATGATAGGCCACTTGCCTTGATTGTATGAAGCATGGATTCAATTCCTAGTTCTACTAAAAGTTAATTAAATTGAACAAAACCAAACAAACAGAGTTTAAAGAGGAATTTTTCATTTGTCATTGCTTGACTTTCTAGTTGCTAATGATGGCATTTAATATTGCAGTAAATACAAGTAATTCTAGTTTGGTTCTACTAAGGATCCACTTCTGAACAAGTTTTTGCTGTAGTCTGTACTTTAAAAGTAGCTGAACATTTCTCATTTACCTTAACACTCACATCAGCTTCTGAGTTAAATTGTAATGCTGCCAAATTAAATATCTCTGTGAACACAAGAAGTTTTCTGTATATTTTGTTTATCTCTGAACATTTTTAGAAATAACATTCATTATTTCTTTCAGTCAAGGTGCACTGTTGAAATAAACACTAACGGAACAAAAGCTATGGTATTGTGTATACATATATTACATTACAGATTCCTTATTACTATAATATCTTCTGTTGTTTACTATAGAAATATGATGATCTCTTCAAATTTTAATTTGAACCAAATTTCTAAAAATAAAGAGCAAATATTTGGAGCACAATGAATTGGGGAGGTAAAAAAATATGGATAGGATATAATGTTACTTTGTAAAAGAAGAAACTGTTCAGATGGCTTAAGAAAAGTACAATCATCACCCAATTTTTTTCTTTGTTATATGGAGTTGTTGAAACCTATAGAACATATCTTAAAGCAAATAACTCATTTCTTCTCTTATCATTGCATAATTATTAGAAATTCTATGAATTCTAAACATGGCTAAGTCACCTCCTAGAAATGTGTGTTCTTACCTCAGAATGCTCTGCAGAATGTTCTGGATTGCTTGTTCTAGTTGTGCCCTCTACAAAATGTTCCATCGAAGTTGTTTTTCCTGGAGTCTTGGAAAATTAGGGAAAAGAGAAACACAAATCTCCTAGACCTCTTTGGGTGAGACCAAAAATACAAACGTTTTTGAAAGAACATACAGTTAACTTAGGAAAGAAAGTCACAGCAATAGTTCTTCATTAAAAATGATCCATAGTGACACTTGCATGTGAATTGGAGAGAATAAGGTTATAAGCACGGCAACTGAGATTTTAGCTTTTCTTCTCTTCCAGATAGGGATTTCCCAGGATGTCTCAAGTACACAGGCAGTGACTAAGACAGGGGCTGGCCAATTAGCCTTGCTATGGTATGTAAATTGTCATTCTTCCTTTACTGGCAGTTTCTCCCACTGCAAGAGGAAGTTACCACAAAAGCCCAGGCAAACCAAATCTTACCTCAGTAGCCTAGCTGCCATCACTTCACTGTATTTCCCAGAGCAATGAAGCAACTGATGACTTTTTGACAGATGGGTTATTCTTGCTTCCCTAAAGGCAAGATTTTCTGGCAATGCCTAATCCATGTGAATTTAGCTGTTTGGAACTTAATGAGTCATGCCCAAATCTACAACCATGACTAATTCTTATGGAAATAATAGAAATCATTACAAAGAAAATGGGCATTGTTTGCAGATTTAATCTATATTGGCAGGAAGTTTTAACTTGGCTCTCAAACTGAAGTCAGTCTTTACCATAGGTTAAGTCCAGATTTTCCCATGCCTCATAGATGTTAAATCTTTTTTTTTTAATTGCACTGGTAGGTTAGCTTTAATTAGTTGACTTTTCATAGAGCACTAAAATAATGGAGCATAAAAGTGTGGGGCTCCAACATCTGGTCACAATGGAGCAGAAGATCTCGCACTAGACTTGGAGGAGAGTTAATGAAAGAAGAGGCAAGTATACAAAATGGAGAGAATGTTGCTAGAAGGAGGAAAGTAAGAATAACTTAGTTTACATTTTTCTTCAGTCCTCCCCTCTCTCTAGTTACACATAGAGAGAGATAGTAGAGAGGTTAAGGTGCATTACCTTGCATGCAGCCTACTACAGTTCAATACCCAACACCCCATCAATCCACCAAGCATTGCCAGAAGTGATTCCCTAAGCACAAAACTAAGTAAGCTCTGAGTGAGCCAGGTGTGGTGTGGCCCCCCAAATAAAAACAAATATATAAAACAAAAGGAAGTATATTTAATCAATTTGCACCACTCATTATATTCTTGAATATGAATGGATTCCAAATAAAATTAGGCAAAATTCCCTGTTCTCCATGAATGGGTACACACGCATGTCCGTGTGCGTGTGCACACACATATAATGGATATACACACATACCACATATACACACATGTATATGTGTGTATATACACATGTGCAGCTATATTTACATATAACTGCTATATATCCATGCCATGACTACCATTAAGGATTAGGAGAGAGCGGGAGAGCGAGAGAGTGAGAGAGAGACAGACAGACAGACACACAAACACACAGAGATAGAGACAGAGGCACAGAGAGAGACAGAGAGAGAGAGAGAGAGAGAGAGAGAGAGAGAGAGAGAGAGACCTCAGTTTCAGAAGCAGGAATAGGACTTTCTGCTGGAACTTGAAGGGTAGATGGGATCCTGATAGGCATAAAAGCTCAGATTGCTTATTGTTATAAAACAGATGGACAAAGCTGATATGACTGTGGGATAGTAATAAATACCATTATCACCTTGCATGCAGCCGGCCCGGGCGAGCCGGGTTCATTTCCTCCGCCCCTCTCAGAGAGCCTGGCAAGCTACCGAGAGTATCTCGCCCGCACGGGAAGCTACCCGCGACATATTCAATATGCCAAACACAGTAACAACAAGTCTCACGATGGAGATGTCAAACACAGTAACAGCAAGTCTCACAATGGAGATGTTACTGGGCCCGCTCGAGAAAATTGATGAATAATGGGAGGACCGTGACTGATCAATTAGTAGAGTAGGGCTCATGTATCTAAAGTTGATTTGAATTGATTTGTCATTTCTTATTTACTCATGAAGAAATTATGACCATACTGCATAGGTTGTGGGAATCTCCTAGAGACCCTCAGGCAAACATCTACGTGGCCAAGGAGTTTTTCTCCTAAAATCCACCCAGGCCATGTGCATTACGTACTAAGTGTGTGAGGTTGACAATTTCAAAACCAGTTAATAAGTATGATTAAGAGAAAAATTTTAAATCCCATAGTAATAAAAGTACTTCACCATCAGCTCACCTGGGACATTCAGAATGGGTCACCTACAATAATTTTACATCTCTTCTGGGATTTCTCCAACATCACTGGAGAAGGATGTTTTCTTCTCTTCTTAGATAATAATCTCCATTATTTTTCCTAGCTAACCTTGTTTTCCTTATATCAGTCAATGATAATACTTCCTTCTTCAGGCTGAAAATCTTGAACTTTCTCTTGTGGCCGTGTCCAGTCTATCTGAATATTTCATAGGTGCTTAAAAGTATATCAGCAGAGAAGAGTGTGACATTGCCATAAGAGCTCAGACAGTTTCCAGTTTAATGAGGAGGTAGGGATCAGCCCAACTTCTTATAATTTTTTTTATCAAAATGGGAACTTCATGCATTCTGATTTTAGTCATATGAAGAATTTTTTTATTGAATCATTGTGAGATGTACAGTTACAAAGTTGTTCATGATTGAGTTCTAGTCATACAGTGTTCCAACATCCATCCCTTCACCAGTGCATGTTTCCCACCACCAATGTCCCTGGTTCTCCCCTCCCACATCCCTCCCCCACACACATTCCACCCCAGGCCTGCTCCCAGAAACTGACTCAGTGGCAAACCCTTTTCTCTTTCTCTTTCTTATTTTACTTTTAGGCACTGTGGTTTGTAATACTGTTACTGAAAGGATATCATGCAATCACTTTAGTTCCCTTCAGCACATAGTTTTTGTCCAGAGTGATCATTTCCAACTATCACTGTCATAGTGTTCCCTTCTCTGTCCTCACTGAACTCCCCCTCCTCCTTTTTTAAAAAATTTTTATTAGTGAAACACCATGAGGTACAGTTGTAGACTTACAAATTTTTGTAGACTTACAATGATCAAGTACCCATCCCTCCACCAGTGCCCATCCTTCACCACCACGGGTCCCAGTATCCCTCTCACCCCCCATCCCCCCCCATCCCACCCTGCCTCTGTGGCAGGGCATTCCCTTTTTTCTCTCTCCTTTTGGGTGTTGTGGTCTGCAAAAAAGGCATTGAGTGGCAATCATCTTTGGTCTATAGTCCACTTTCAGTATGCTTCTCCCATCCTAGGAGGATCCTCGCAACACCCCTTATTTGGTGCTCCCTTCTCTATCTGAGCTGCCTTTACACCTAAAGTGTGCTGCTGGCCTCCAAGCCATGGAGTAAATTTCCTGGTACTTAGCTCGGCCACTCTTGGGTGTTAGTCTCCTATTTGGTTACTTTATGTTCCCCAGATGAATGCAATCTTTCTATGTCTATCCCTCTTTTTCTGACTCATTTCGCTTAACATGATACTTTCCATGTAGTACCACTTGTATGTAAATTTCATGACTTCATCTTTTCTAACAGCTACATAGTAATCCATTGTGTATATGTACCAACCAGTCATCTGTTCTCGGGCACTCAGGTTTTTTCCAGATTCTGGCTGTTGTAAAGAGTGCTGCAATGAACAAACAAGTGCAGATGTCACTTCGACTATACTTTTTTGCCTCTCTGGGTTATATTCCCAGGAGTGGTATCGCTAGGTCAAATGGGAGCTCAATTTCTAATTTTTTGAGAATCATCCATAATGTTTTTCAAAAGGGCTGAACCAGTCGGCATTCCCACCAGCAGTGAAGGAGGGTCCCTTTCTTGCCACATCCACGCCAGCACCAGTTGCTTTTATTCCTTTGGATGTGGTGTGAAATGATATCTCATTGTTGTTTTGATCTACATCTCCCTGATGATTAATGATGTAGAGCATTTTCTCATGTGCCTTTTAGCCATTTGGATTTCTTCTTTGAGAAAGTTTCTGTTCATTTCATCGACCCATTTTTTTTATGGGGTTGGATGTTTTCTTCTTGTGGAGTTCAACCAGTACGTTGTATATCCTTGATATCAACCCCTTGTTGGATGTGTATTCAGCGAATATCCTTTCCCATTCTGTAGACTGTCTTTGTATTTTGGTCACTGTTTCTTTTGAGGTGCAGAAGCTTCTTAGTTTAAGATAGTCCCATTTGTCTATCTCTGTTTTCACTTGCTTGGCCAGTGGCGTGAAATCTTTGAAGACACCATTAGCTTCAATACCATGGAGGGTTTTGCCAACTTTGTCTTCAATATACCTTATGGATTCTGGTCTGATTTTGAGGTCTTTAATCCATTTTGATCTTACTTTTGGACATGGAGTTAGGCAGAGATCTGAGCCCACTTTTTTGCATGTTGCCGTCCAGTTTTGCCAGCACAATTTGTTAAAGAGGCTTTCCCTGCTCCACTTCACTTTTCTTACCCCCTTATCAAAGATTAGATGATCACATGCTTGTCCCCCTCCCTCTTTTGGCAAGATTCCTATTGTGGACCTGTCCTCCTGGCCTTTGTTTATGTTGTCTTTGTGTATTATTAATCACAAATCACAAATCATCCTGTTATTCGTCGATTGCCTTGAGCAGGCCCCAGTAACGCCTCCTTCATCCTAGCCCTGAGATTATATTCAAGGCTCTTTAGGAGAATGAGACCCATCGTTGTTACTGGTATTTGGCATATTGGGTACGCCAAGGGGAGTTTGCCAGACTCTGCCCTGTGGGCAGGCTACATTCGGTAACCTGCCAGTTTGTCCAAAGTAGGAATGAGATAATAAGATGTCATAATAAGATGTTGCGTGGCCGCAAATGCGGCCACGCGGTTCCAGGATCTGGTTTTTATAGTCTCTGAGTCTTGGCCGCTGATGGGATTACACAGCGACAGGGGGCCAGTTGGTGGATGTGACCCCCACCTACTGGAGTTTGGAGGATCTGGATGGAGGATGCCA